ATTCCTAGTTCTAAACTTTCTCCGTTTAGACCGATAATTAGCGTTAGTTAGGGTTTCTCGATACCCGAAATAGAGTAGCGGTTTTGATAACGTAGACTTATAAAGTTCCCTGCTATACCCGAGTCGATTATTACTAAGGTCGGTTAAAGTATAATATTAGTAGTTACTTTTATATAGTATCCCTACGCTATCGCGGCGAGTTATTGTTCGTTGTTTATCCTCCGGTTTCCTTACTAGAGTCCCGCGTATTCTAGGCTCTAGTTAGGTTTCTTTTCCTATCGTAGCGGCTTTAGCTCTAGACTTTATTTATCCTTTCCTATACGGTAGATAGCGTATTCGTTATCGTAGTATACTCGAGCTACCCTAATATAGTAGTCGGGGTGCCTTATATATCCTTAACACGAATATCGGTTCTGCTAGTATAGGTAGAATCTATCCTCGACCTCTAGCTTTAGCTTATATAGCTCGTAGAGTTAATCCGTGATCTTAAGTATCTTGTCGACTTTTTCGCTATTAGCTACTGAATTACTTCTAAATAGGTCGTGAAGTTCTTTTTGTAGTCTGTCGATATTAGTAATAATATCTACTTTTTTAGGGTTCTAGTAAGGCTATTTAGGTATATCCGCTCTTAGGACTACGGGTGGAGTTTCTAGGATCTCCGGGGTTCCTAGAATTTCAATAGGTATCTTCAGGATTCCTATACCCTAGTCCTAGGAATCGTCGGATAATTCCTAGGAGTCGATAGTGTTCTAGGGACCGTACTAGGTCTATCCTTGACTCTCGATGTTTTCCTAATTAATTTCTAGGAAGTCTTCCTTCGCGTACTCTACGCTAATTAGGTCGCGGTCTTGTATAATTTCTTCTAGGGTCTTGTTAACCTCCTAGGTATATCGTGGATCCTTGTTAATAACCTTTCGGATCTCTTTCTGATTTATAGTCGTCTACTAGGCCCGCCCCTCTTCGAGGGTCTTAGTATTATTGTTAGTAGCTCTAAGCTATTAGGGTCGGACCTCGGTGCTTTAGGTTACCCGTAGCTATTATAGCTTCGCGTTATTACGTTCACGCGCCTATAGCTTTGCGTTATTATACCGACTATACTCACGTGCCCTATATCCTAGCTTACTATAATTAAAGCATAGGTTATTGTCCTTTTAACGTTTCTCTTCCTCGGCTAGGAGTCTCGCTACGTTAAGCTCTATTAGCCTTAGTCCGTAGGGGTCGCTATCGTAGGACTCCCTAGGCTAATATCGCTATTAGCCCGACCGTCCGTCCTAACGTCTACCTTGATAGGGTTAGAAACTAGTATTTCCCCGTCGCCCCTCCTCGTCGCTACAGGTCTCTCTTATAGAGCCTGTTATTATACTTAACTGCGATCTTAATAAGAGTACTAAGATCCTTAGGCCGGTTAATCCGTATAAGCTCGTCCTTGATATTGTCCTTAAGTCCTCGCTCAAAGAGCTAAATATAGGTATCTTTATCTAGGTCGAGATACGAAATAATTTATTAGAACTCGGTAGCATATACGCTAGCCGATCTAACTTGTCGGAGCCGATCTAGCTTTCGTTTAGCCGTTCTAACCGTATCGATGTCTCCGAATATCTATTCGAGTCGTTTCTTAAACTAAGTATACGATCGGAAGATAGTTTCGGTGACGTCTCCCTAATCGTCGCGTGGTTTTTCGTTAAATTCTCTAATATAGGGCTTAAACTAGTTAAATGCCTGTCCGCGGAGGTAGGTAGAAGCGTAAATGACCTTATTAGCTTCCTTACCGTAGTTGATTATACGGAGCTATATATCTATCTAAGTTAGGAAAGGTCGAAGCTTAGTTCGCTCTCTATAGAAGAACTTAGGCTTAGGTAGTTTAATAGTTTACTAGTTAGTTCTTCTCTCGGTGAGAAGTTACTCCTAGAGCTACTCGATTATAGCAAGTAGCTAAGCGTTGTTCGGCGCTATAGGGATAGACCTGCTTAAAAGGTTGCTTATCGTTAGGTACTATAATAACTTTGCTTCACGGTTAAAGACAGGGCGATTAATATATTACGCGTAGCTAACTAGTCACTATAAGTAGAGCTTTAAAGGGTTATACGTGCCTAGTTCTACTACGGATTCTAAGAGTATCTCGCAACCGTACCGTTACTATACTAAGCCTTATACGGGTTCGGGTCCTGTTGAGTATCTTGCAGAACGTGCTAGAAGTGCGCGCTAAGTAAGTTAGTCACTAAGTATTACTACTAAGTAAGCTCCCCTACTTATAGGTTAGGTTGTCTTGAAGGTGAACTGTGAAGTGCAAAGTACTAAAGGTAGTAACCAGGTAATAATGTGCAATTAATCGCGAAGAACTAAATACATAATACTAAATAAGTATCCTTATATATCTAGTCCTTCGTAGTGTAGTCTATAGTTAGGTATAGGGTATAGTATACTAGACTACCTGTTTCTATAGTCCTAGCAGTATACCTAACTGTATACCCTGGTATCACGTGTTCGGTAGCGGCCTGTTCCTGAGTCGTGCTAACCGTCTAATCGTATAAGCGGGTATATGATAGCACGGTTAGGTACAGGCTAGTTATAGCTCCCTGCCTAACTGTTTTACCTATAGCCTCCGGGGGCGTGCCTGGGTATTAGGAGTTGTACGTGACGGCGCTAATGCAAAGCGTCTGGGGATCGATTGGGTCTCGGTTGCCCCTTAACTAGCTGCGGCCCTTCCGCGCCTCGAGGTTCGTAATATACTATAGTATAAAGATTATAGGAGAGTATTAGATATCAGGCAAGATACCTAAGCCGTTAGGTAGTATATCAAGCCAGATTCATAAAGCCTATACTAAGGCTAGAACAATATTCTAAATCTCTATAAGCTTTATACTATTATATCATCATTATCTAATCGGATAACTAGGCATAAATAGACGTATCATAGTTATACGATCTATATCATTATTACGATTGAATTATATCGTATAATCAAGCAATTACAAATCAAACGGCTACTATATAAGATCACTATATATCTAGATCTATCTATATAATATCATTACATACATCTAGATCTATCTGTATAAGATCATTATATATCTAGAATATATCTAGATCTATCTAGATTAATCACATACAAGAAACAAGTTTAATAAGTTTATATAAAATATTGATTATAAATATGCCCTACTTTCTCTACTAAGATCTTAGAATTATGTTTAATACATTAAGCAAGCAACAAGACAATTCCATATAATCAACCAAGCTTCAGTCCTACTTTACTTTTCTCTTATCTTGATCTATTCTAAGCCGAATTGAACTTATCCTTCCTATTTAATTAAGAGGAAGAAAGATTAATTTATCTTATTCAATTTTCTTCCTCTCTACTTACCTGCGTAGCAGATCGCTTGCTCACAATAATATATATAATATATATATTTAAACTACCTTATGCAAGATTAGTTCCCTAATCAACAAGAGGCGTTTAAAACTATAGAAAGTTGATTTTTTCCTTGGTAAATAATGGAGAACGAGGGATCTTTATTCTACTTTCAGAATGATTTCCTAAATTTTCTAACTTCTAGGTGGTCAATTGCAGCATTCTTATGGAAAGAGCCAGAACAGAGGTAGAAAACAGTATTTTATTTAGATTATTAAGCGCCGTTATGAACGCTAAGACCTTAATTTTATGCAAAGATGGGCTTTGTCGGGGGCCCATCGGGGGCCCGACGTTTGCCTAGGGGTCGGGCTTGGGCCCACGCCGGGTCGGGCTTTAGGCCCAAGGGTTAGGCCTACTGGTGGGCCCTGAAGATGTCTAATAACAGATATAGTCATTTTGATCAATTAATATTGATTTATTATTATAATTAATGTTAATATTATTACCTAGAAAAGTAGTGATTTTACCTAGTTCTTCTAGTTGTATAAATCTTCTAGCTTCTTTGGCTAGGTTATTAATATATGATATATCTCTATACATAATGATTATATTATTAATATAGGTTATTATAATAGTACTAGATTATTTATTAAGGTATATACCTTTATTATATAGTAGGATATCAAATCCTAGGTATTTAATAGATTCTGAAAAATAATAATTCTAAAGTCTTAGTGCTTGTTTTAGGCTATATAGTGCCTTCTGCAATTTGCAGTATTTATTCTTATATTGATTATTATTTTGATTATATAAGCTAATTAGCAATATATTATAGATATCAGTATCGATACTAGCGTGTACGAACGTATTTTCAATATCGAACTATCTAATATACTAGTTCTTGTTAACTGCTATAATCAGCAATAGATACTATATTTCTATTCTAGCAGTAGTAGAGAAGGTCTCTAGGAAATTAACTCTAAATCGTTAATTAAATCCTTACATGACCTATCTAGCTTTATATCTTATAGATTTATCATAATTAGTTATATAGTTCTTTTGTATAAGCCGGCCTAGTATCGAGGAGGGGGGGAGCCTGTGCTCCCGAGCGCGGCTACTCCTACTGCTCTTCGAATTCGAGTGCGGCAACACCAACGAGCTAAGTAGATCTTAAGGAATATCCGGCTGTCTAATGCTTAAACGCATAGCGATTTACCTATTCAACTACCTTACCGCCTACTCCCAAGATCCTATGGTGCCGCCAACCTCGGTCATTTTACTTCCAAGAACTCAATGAGTGTGACAGTCCGATCCAAAAAGGAAGAAGAAGTGACATTCTATCATTCTATAAGAATCTTGAAACTCTAGAGAGTGAGAGAGAAAGAAGAAAGAGAAAGGAAAGCAGACAGACTAAATACAGAGGTCTTCAAACTCTAGATAGAGAGAAAGAAGGAAAGAGAAAGGAAAACAGACAGAGCAAATAGAGAGAGAGTGGCAAATAGTGCAAACATGGTCACGTGCCAGCAGGATCACATGATCCAGGCCTGTGCCTTCCGGTCTTCACAATTGAGGGCTGATTTGACAACCAAAAGTGCATTGGTATATGCTTGTTTGGTGGATAATGAAATCGCCACACTCCTCTCTTCCACTACTGGACATTGTTTTGCTTGCGTCCCATGATGTCATATCGATCCAAGTCCATAACTTTGGCCCAGGCGGCAACAAAGTCATTTACAAACTTTGCCAGTGCATCATCGGAACCATAGACTTCGGCAACTGCGCGAAGCTCGGGGTGCGAACCAAAGATGAGGTCTGCACGGGTTGCTGTGTAGTTGGGCTTGCCGGTCTGGCGATCGTTACCCTGGAACTGCTCGTCGTTGGTATTGGCAATGGGCGACCACTCAGTTGACATGCTCAAAAGGTTCACAAAGAAGTCGTTTGTGAGCTGTCCAGGGCGGTCGGTAAAGATGCCGAAGTTTGAGCCATCATAGTTGGCATCAAGGGCCCGCATACCACCAACCAGGACCGTCATCTCAGGAGGGCTGAGGGTGAGAAGGGCGGCCTTGTCAACCAAATACTCCTCGGTAAGAGAGCGGGGAGTCCCATGGCCGTAATTACGGAAACCATCCGCCTGGGGCTCGACTACGGAGAGTAAAGTCAGTAAACTGCAATGACACGTGCAATGTGATGCTCAAACATACGATAAGCAAACGTCGAAACGTCAGTGTTGTTCTGCGTGGTATCCACACGGCCAGGAGTAAAGGGGACACTGATATGCATGCCTGCATCCTTGGCAGCCTTCTCAATAGCCGCGGCGCCACCAAGAACGATCAGGTCGGCAAGAGACACCTTCTTGATTTTATTGGCTGAGTTAAACTTGTCTTGAACTCCTTCGAGCTGCATGAAGATTAGCTACGAGTCACACCAGTCCAGTCATGAAGGGAGGTTCTGCCACTTACTGCCTGGAGAACTGTTTCCAGCCGCGTAGGGTTGTTTGCCGCCCAAGAACGTTGAGGCATCAAGGCAATGCGCGCGCCGTTGGCACCGCCACGCTTGTCGGAGATGCGGAAGCTCGAAGCAGAGCCCCAAGCGGTGGTGACCAGATTGGAAACGTTCACACCAGGTGCCGCAAGGATGTCCATTTTTAATTGATTCATATCCCCCTCGTCAATTTCCCCGTAGTGAACAGTCGGAAGAGGATCCTGCCAGATTAGAGGCGCCTCCGTCGGGAGCTCGGGGCCAAGATAACGCGCAATAGGACCCATGTCACGATGAAGAAGCTTGTCTATCGGTAAATCAGTCAGCATACCATCGTCAGGCAAGGAGCGAAGACATACACCAGGCCAACCCAAACTTCTCAGTAAAGTAGGCAAAGTCGTTCAAGAAGGTCTGCGAAATATTATTGTAAATTGGATCGTAGAGAAGGGCGAGATCGCTGGTCATCATCGTTGACTTGTGGAATTTGCCGGGAATGAAGGGGTCGGGAGTTGCAGCCGTGGCGTTTACAGCTTCCCATTGTGGGGCCCCGTAGTTGTAGACAAGAGTCCAGTTGTTCGTGAGCAGAGAGGTCAGGAAGTCTGTTGCAGGAGTGGTTAGTAATTGGTCGTCTGTGTAAGGGCGCTGGAACTTACGGTTTGCCCATTGGGTGGGAGTCCTGGACCAGATAACCTCGAGACCGCTGGTCCATGTGTTGTTACCAACACCGGTATTGAAACTATTGTGCCATCCGAGGTTCTGCATTTCAAGGCCAGCGGCATTCGGCTCAGGTCCGATGTAGCTTCCAGGAACAGCGCCATGGGTCTTGCCAAAGGCATGGCCGCCAGCAATGAGAGCAACCGTCTCTTCGTCGTCCATCGCCATGCGACCAAAGGTCTCACGAATGTCAAGAGCAGATGCCATGGGATCGGGTATGCCGTTCGGGCCTCTCGGATCCACGTAGATGAGTCCCATGTCCGTGTCTCCAAGCGGGCTTTCGAGCTTGTCTGCTCTGTCGTACAGGTTTGTGCTTCCGTTGTAACGATACGTGTTGCTTTGGTTCGAAGGAAACATGGCCTGCTCGCTACCCCAATAAATGCCCTCATCAGACTGCCAAGTGTCGACGCGACCAAACCCAAAGCCGTATGTCGGGAAGCCCATGTTCTCCAAGGCTGTATTCCCCGCAAAGACAAAAAGGTCTGCCCAAGACAGCATGCTCCCGTACTTTTGTTTGATGGGCCCTAGACGCAAGGGTTAATCACTCCGGGTCCATCTCTATAGTTTATGTGACTCGAAGATTGGCGGCTTACACAACAGGCGGCGAGCTTTGTCGAGGCTGGCATTGTCCGGCCAGCTATTCAACGGCGCGAACCTTTGCTGCCCCATGCCAGCTCCTCCACGACCATCAAGTTCTCTGTAGGTTCCAGCATTGTGCCAGGCTAAACGAATGAAAAAAGGGCCATAATTGCCGAAATCAGCGGGCCACCAGCTTTGGGAGGTCGTCTGCAGATCGGTGATGTCTTTTTTAAGTTCGGCCACTGCCAGGGGTTAGCATTTGTAATGCGAACTTGCGAATCCAGTGGAATTCCCTACCATCCAACTTGGCAAACTCGCTAGCGTAGTCGAAGTCCTTGTCCAGGGGAATGGATTTGTCTGCATTCTGGCGCAGGACCGCAAGATTCAGCTCGCACGGCCACCACTGCTGGCTCCGCGTACCACCGCCGGCGACCTGGCTCTTTCTAGGACATTGACCAAAGTTTGGACCTTCCGGACTGTACCTAGGCTTGAGGATATTTTCGAAGGGAGGTGACAGGTCGTTACCGCGAACGTACGGGCAACCTACTGCGGAGGTGACCGGCAGCGCACTGATGGCGAGCACCAGAAGACGGCGCCAGGACATTGATTCAGACATCGCCATATCTCGCAGTGAGTGAGACTCCGTGATGTATTGTCGAGAATGCTCTGGGTGAATACACGGCCTGGAGATGAGGCTCCTTTATTGTATGTGTCGGAGTAATCATCCACCTGGTAATTACTAATGATCCAACTGCCGCATCCTGACGCTGACACACCTGAAACATTCGGCGGATACGTTTATTGTATGTGTTGGAGTAATTATCTACCTGCTAATTGCTAGTGATCCAAGTATCACGGAAGAAACAAGTGGAGAAAGACCCCAACGTGATAAACTAGGTTTCCCCTCGCATTCGCATTCGCATTCGCATTTACACTCTTCGGATTCCAACATTAATTCTTATTGTCTAACTGCCGCATCCTGACGCTGACACACCTGAAACATTCGGCCGATACGGAGCACTGTGCCCTAATGTGGACAGATCTCACTGAGTTTCCCGCTTCTCTACTATAAACATAGACATAATAGATAGACAGAATACCATTGATTTTAACATTGTCACATCTTGACTATTGTAGTAAATTTACCTATTATACACTACCTATTCCTACTTTATTAGTATATACCGATAACTAGACATTGACATACCCATGGATCTACCCATATGGGCAGGTCCCATTCCGCCCATGGGCGGGACAGGGGACGGATCGGGCTCAGTCCCATGGGCGGGTAGGCTCAGCGCCTATCCACGTGGGTATCCCCATGGGCGGGCCGCGGGTAAGCTCAGGGCCTACCCACGTGGGTTTCCCCATGGGTGGGCCCCTATCCGGGCGTGAGAAACCTAGGTATTATAGTGCCTCCGCGTAGCCTTAAAGCGTTAGCTCCCTCTAGCGAAAAGATAGACACCTCTTCGTAGTGCTAGAGACTAGTACTTAAACGACGAGAGGTTCCAGCATACAGACTATCTAGTGACCTGCTCTTGTGGTAAGTTAAAGTCCCCTACACACTTCTTCTTATGTCCGCCCACTTCTTCTTATGTCCGCCCACTTCTTCTTATGTCCGCCTACTTCTTCTTATGTCCGCCCACTAGGAAGCGCTGGAAAGATAGGTGGAAGGCAGCGGGACGCCCTTCACATATCGAATCTAAAATAGGCCTGTTGTGTGTTAGAACTATGAAACCATGACCAATTCGGCTGTATTTTAGCGCAAAATCAGGATACACGGCAAAAAAATCCAATGGAAAAACCTGTTTAGGTCAATGCCGTGTACGACCCCGACAACACTTCGCCCGTTTTCACCCACAAACATTGCTAAAGCGCTGGGTAAACCGAATCTCGCCGCGAAGAGCATTAATAGTGCCAACAAGAAGCTGACCACCCTCTGTAGCATTAGATCTTTATCCACCCTGTGGCTGACAAATCTCAGACAATAGACTTCCAAAGAATTGTCGTGAGCGTTGTAATTCTGAAGCCTGTTCCCTAATCTCCTTGGCAATACGGTCCAGTGCCAGTAGCTTATTCTGCATCATTTCTTCATCCTTCCTCGTTTCTTCGATCGTCTCCGATATAACGTGCTCGTTGGCTGAAAGTACATTCTTGTCATCATTAGCCTCGTGTGGCGTGGAAAGAATGGCAAGCCTGTGGGTGCCGAGTTAGTCATCCGATTCAAATTAGGTTTCAATTTCACATACAATGCGACGTTTTCTATTGTTGTAGCTTTCGACATTTCTAGTCGTTGGCTTAGTAGTTTTACTTCTGCTTCTTCAAAAATATCTAAACGGCCATGATCCATTTCGTGCACTGTATCGTTATCTAAGTGACTAGTCCACCTTCTAAACATCTTCCGAACGTTATCACATGCATTTTCGCAGCTTGATACTATTAACTAGAGATGATATTGGTCTTCACGACTGAGTCTTCTAGGGGTTGACTAGTTAGCAGCCGATGTTAAACACGTAAGGTAGTTCTAACAGAAGACAATTGGCTAGCGAGATTGTAATAACCTCCGGTGTATTTCGGTGTCTATTATGTCATGCATAAGGTCGAAAATGCTCTGTTATACAGTTCCTGCGGCAAAAATAGTGAACCCGGTGATAATAGTTAGTTCTGCTATCGTGAGCGGTAGGAATTCCAACCTAGTGTATGATTAGTAGATCAGGATGAAAGAAGAAGATAAACGGTAAACTCACTATAATATAATCAAAATGTAGTCTCCGGCTTTAAGGAATCGATGGCAGAGAAAGAATGGTAGAGAGTAGCGTCCTATTGAGGAAGTGCTCGAATATATATCGTGGTATTGGGTAGCATTAACCTCCCATACTGCGATAATAAACTAAGGAGTAATCCTAAAGAGTAATGACCATCGTCGGGTTCCTAGGATTGCGACTGTTTCTTCCACTCAACGTGAATGGTTGAACGAAGTAGCTACTAGACCGCTAAAGATTATCCTGTTGCAGGTCTGGTTCGTCGGAGCAAGCTCTTCGGGTCTTCGCCACACTGTAACCTTAGTGGCCCAGACGTTGAGCACTTGGCTTCGCTCACAACATGCCCAGAGCTAGCGCAAAAGCAGTGACCTTGTATACTCATAGAAGACTTCTAATAGGTGCGCCTAGTGGCAACAAAATAAATTCTTAGTGGTCATATCTGAGCACAGATGGCTCCGGTTGGCCCTACTACAGAATACAACAGTGGATCTTCAAGCGGTTTCATCCAATTGCCCTCGCCCTCCTAGCTCTCTGAAGCCGGTTAATAGATTAAGTGGTTAGTAAACAATGTGACGCATGGCGTCGAGGACTGGAGGAGGCGAGGGGACTAACCGGATTGGGACACGAGGGTTGTTGACGAGCTCGTGGTGCCCACAACTTAGTTTCTTCCTCAGTTTTGTAGTCTCGTTGAATACTACATGTTTACAGCGTTCTGAGTTGTAACAAACAAGACTATATTCCTAGGAGCATAACATGGTCTAGAAGATCGTCATCGCTGAATTAGAGGAGAGAATTGTTATTGCCAGACCGGAATGTATACGATGAATTGAACTAGAATGCTATAATCCCAAAATAAATCGATGATTGACTGCAGGCAGGGTGTGTAACGTTGGCTATCACTTCGCTCGCAGATAGACAATGATCATAGACTTGAAAAATCAGTGTAAACAAAGGCACTACCGCAGGATGTTGAGAGATTGACAGGTCTATTGAACAGGACCCACTGCGCATTTGCCACTGAGGTGGGATGCGGGCCACTAGGTCCAACAAGGGTCACATTGATGATGCCAGTCCTTTTTTGATGGGAGAAATAGGAGCGATGCAAAGGAGAAAAATGCTGCACGTAGATGCAGCTAGCGGGGTGGATTTTATTTTATTAGGGGTGGGCTTACTCAGGTAGGGCTCAGTGAGCGAATCAGGGCGATCAGTGAGTGGATCAGGCTGCTCAGTGAGCGGGTCAGGGTGATGCTCCGTGAGCAGGTCTTGGGCTTTTGTCCTTCTTTGTCCTTCTTGATTTTGTCAACACAGCCGCGCCCGTGACGCGGCCTTGCTATATGTATGTGATTATGCTAGCACGGTGGCCTAGAATGCGGGCTGTGTGACGGAGATGGACCGACGGACCCCTCTCGATGTTGATTACAGAGAATGTCTTGCAGAATGTTCTTTTTCCGGAAACGGTTAGTCGCAGGCACCGCCTGAAGTAGCCCGAAGGCTAAAATTGGGGTAGATCGGGATGGCGATCTTTATACGAGGAGGAGATCTTACACATGGTCCGATTCGATTTAGAGAAGGTCCGATGCGATTCGGAGAACCCATAATTGAGAAGTGAGCTCCAAATGATAGCAAAAATAGGAGTGGGTTGGGTTGGGGTAGAAACGGTGCCCCGACGAGTAGGCAGGCGTGGAGGTCCGTGACGAAGCCTTGGGAGTGATCCCGGGTCGAACGGCCTCTGGTGCAGATCTTGGATTATGCATATCTTTCCAACTGGGACTCATTTTTCCGGTTATTAGCCAACTTTCAAGTGTTCAGCGACGGCAAGACTTAGAATAGTCTCAGCATTTACCATTTTTCAAGATTTCTTCGCGATGGCCTTTACCTCTGCCCAGCGGAGGCAGATTCTCACGACCCTGACAATTTCTCTGCTGTTGGATTTGGTAATTCCCAATTCGATCTTGAACCATTGAGGCCAGTCTTCATTCTGACTATTTACGTATTTCACTGTGCTTAGATCTCATTTACCTTAATCCTCCCTCTCTTTCCATCCGTCCTAAGTTATTATCGCACAAAAGACAGCTCACCTACGAGCCTGCTCAATCGAGTCTTTCACTACTTGAACGCGTACAAGAACTTGTTCTCGAAACCCATCGACTCGAGCTATGACATTATTTTACTTGGCGGAGCATTCGGCTCTATGTTCTCTTTCCTCCAGGCTATAGCCTCCCCTATTATTGGACGGCTCTCAGACCAACATGGCCGACGCAGGGCTCTGCTTTTTTCTATGGCAGGCAACATTTTGAGTGTCTGTCTCTGGGTCGGCGCGGCGGATTTTCGGACATTCATCGCGAGTCGCATTGTTGGCGGTCTTAGCGAAGGCAACGTCCAGCTTGCCAATGCAATTATCGCAGATATCAGTGATGAGCAACAACGAGGATCGGCCATGGCTCTTGTTGGGGCATGCTTCAGTCTCGCGTTCACCTGCGGTCCGGTACTGGGTGCAACGCTCGCAAGTATCAACATGGTGGCTTCAAACAAATTTGCTATGGCTGCTGGAGTTTCCCTGGTTCTGGTCGTCATGGAGACAATATACATATACTTCTCTCTACCGGAGACACATCCACGTTTGAGGCACTTGCAAGACCATTCCTCTTTGGCCTCTAAACCAAGCTACAATAACAAGTTCGACGACACAATGCCGGCTATGTTCAATGGCGGTGTATCAAAGGTCTCTACAAACGGCCACACATCGTCTTCTTTAGCACGTCAAGAGAAAAACACGGAGACAAAACCTCGCAATACGTTTGTTTTGAATTTTCTCCATCTCCTCTTTCTTCTCCCTTTCTCCGGGCTGGAGTTCTCCCTTCCATTTCTCACCTCGACACTATATTCCGACCAAGCAAAGAGCATAAACCCCTCTGCTTTAAATGGGCGTCTTCTTTCCCTTATGGGCCTCATTGCTTCTTTACTTCAAGGAACAGTTGTTCGACGTCTACCACCGATTATGAACATACGAATTGGCGTTGTTGCTTGTGCAATTTCATTTTTCCTGCTTGCACGCGTGTCTTCAATCAGAGGTGTCTATGTCGCTGGCATTTTTCTGGCTATCACATCAGCTACAGTAGTGACAGGTATTAACAGTCTAGGTAGTTTAGTGGCGCGTGAAGGGGAACGCGGACTTGTTCTCGGCCGTCTACGAAGCTGGGGCCAGGTGGGCAGAGCCGTGGGACCATTGTTCATTTGTTCGCTGTTCTGGTGGGTTGGAAGGGAGGTTGCCTATACAACAGGGGGCGTAATGATGATGGGCGTTGCGGTGGCTGCCTTCACTATACTGCAGTCGCCTTAACTCAGCAGATGATGTATATTTAGAGAGTCATTTCGGTTCATCCGACGAGTAGATCGTATCATGTCATAACTAAGCCAATCCGAGATCCGGGGTGTGTCAAACACCCAATTGTTCTTGAAGAATTCAAAGTCTCCACTTGCACCTTTATCTATCCTATGGGGTAAGTGGGATGCAGTTTATCCTACAGGCAACGAGGATGGTCTAATTCGGCTCGGGCCGCCAGTCTAGCCAATGATAGAGCGAGTAGTCAAGGAGGCCCAGTTCCACTATTTACTAATGGTCCAATAGTGAACAAGACATCACCTGATAATGGGGATACCTTTGACCATATATACTGAATTGGGGAAGCTCAAGGCAGCCTGGTCGGCACAGGCAGGTCGAGGCACGAGAGAGAGCAAGGGACAGAGTCGTAGGCAGAGGCAAAACAAACCCCCAACAGCGAAGCTGCAGTAAGAGAGGCAGCAAGAGGATGGAATCGTACGGTCGGTAAACGCCCTACTAGCAGTAGATCCAGCTGCCTGAGTAGAAGAATTGAAGGAACGTCATGCTCTGTGAGAAAAGCTAGAAAAACGAGAAGAAAAGCTTCATTCAGAAAGCGTCCAATGCCACTTCACTTCTCTCCTGTGTCTTATATATTTCTTCACTTCCTCACTATAAAGCATACGATTTTCGGCAGAAATTCCCCAAAACAAACCAGACAAACGGTCCGCAAAACAGGAACGACCAAGTTATATAATGTCACTGGATCCCCCACTACAATACGTACCATATTTCCTCTGCCGGGTGGGGCTTTCCCATCTTAGCTGCCGCCGCTTTTATGAGGGCGCTCAGAGTCAGGCTCACTGACTAAATTTCAGTCTGGGCTCAGACTCGTTGAGCTGCTCAGTGATTGAGATTAGCTGCTCACTGATCCATGATGCCTTGATAAACTCGGGTGTTTACTTTTCATGAATTCGGATCGTCAATTTGGGCAAGTTCACCTAAATTAAAGGGCTGAATTTATCACTATTGACAACCTGACTTGACCGCCTGCTCTTAGATTAAAGACCTGAATTCCCCTAAACTGACAACCCGAATTCGTCAAAATTGACCACCCAAAATCATGAATAGACTGGATTGTAACTCCGCACAAACTGACCGTCTAACTAGCCCGTGATTCCACTAGGAATCGCAATCCGTTCC